GTTTTTTGTTCCGTTTGACATGTTGCTTTTGTTGTTCTTATATTTGTCGTCCGAAAGTGGAATCGTGGAATTCTCTTTTAATTTAGTTGCTGAGACATCGGTCAGATTTGCCCAGGATTTCGAAAATGATCTTTGGATGTTTGTCAAAGACCGAGTCTTTCAAAATGCATCATCTCAGGTAGAGGCCAGGGAACTTTTATTTATACTTTCTTTTTTTTCAAGCTGACGTGGTTATTAGTTGTTGATGAGAATACTTAGCAGATCTTCGGCAAGCACTTAATGTTGGTGCATTTTGGTGACGTTTTTTCAGAAATGAAGGCGTGATGATTAGTAGAATATTCTCGGTGCCGAAGCAAGCTAAATTAAGCCAGTAAGTTTCGAAATCTTTTTATAGTTTATTTTCCGATAGTTCGATTCTTTCAAATGATTTCTGTAGTTCCTTGGAGGACGTTTTTTCTAAAAACAGTTATACTAGTTATTAAGCATATTTGATCATCAAGTGTTAGTTTTCAGAACAAAGTCGTTCATGCCGACCCGGTGGCTCTTTTTTATTGACTATAGATTTCTTACAAATGTTTCGCAGTCTTAAGTGTTTTTGTTACATAAAAAATTTCTGCGTACACTTTTTGCCGCTAATTCATTTAACGGTTATATAAAAGCGATAAATCACCGGGAGACATCAATAGGCGTTTGTTGGGCGTTTTGGAAATGTTGATTTTAAGGCTGTCATTGTGTTTTTCTACCAGTAGTAAAAGTATTTATAGCCATTTTGCATTAGTTTAAGTAGTATATCGAAATGTGATATTTGATCTTAAGATTCTTTTGATTTTTTATTTCGACATGCTACCACTGCATTGAAGCATACCGTATTATTCCTTACAGCGAAGGTAAAGCGCTGAAAGAAAGTTTAAGTAGCGAGTCGGAAAGTCCTTACTCTTCCGTTCATTCCTGTGATGGTCATCAAAGAATACATAGAAGCTCGCAGACCATGGATCCACCTGAAAGTAGGTTGCCGGCCAAGAATATAATTTTCAATTTTTTTGCTTTGTTGGTTTTCATGGCTTACATGAGCTTTCTCATCTTTTTTTTTTTCTTGGGGGGGGACGGGGAGAAATTCAACATCAGATGTGGAATTGTGTTGTGTTATTTAGAGTTCACGAGGGTTCGTAATGCCTCTTTGCAATTGGATAATGAATATCCAAGGCCTTTTTCTCCGCAGAGTTTATCTACTACTCGAAGAAAACAGCTTTCGCATCGTGGGGACATTTGTGATGAAAGTAATTCAAGGATTTCTTCTCACTTTAATCACTTTCCTTTTAGGCCGTTATTTATAAATAAGAGATTCGTAAGCACGACTTTAGGAATTTGTGGTTGGAATTTTGAGAAATTTTTAGATAACTGTGGGCGATGGAGTAGTCGTAGTAGAATGAGTAGTTGTAGTTCGGCGAATGACGACGATATGAACCATGTTGCGATTGCCATTATTTTTAAGTAATGGTTTAAAAATCTTTATATTTTCTTTTGTTTTTGATAGTGCATGAAGTTCCACTAATTTATCTTCATTGGAATGTGCAAATTGGTGATGCACGCCAAAGCGATTAGTTGCCTTTGCAAGACTTCTACTAATTCTAGATTTTTTTTTTAGTTACGCAACAAGGCAATTTTTGCTTCAACATATACCGTTAATTGAGTTGGAATTATTAAAATTGGAAGCTCAAGTGGTAAAAGCCTGTTTGTCACGAACGGACTATCTTAATGTTATACATAAGGTATTTTTTGATTGGATTCATTAGCACCATGGGAACTATTACGCTCTGAATGATGCTCGGTCGTATGAGTTTGGCTTAGAGATATATTACTTGCTGATTTTTTTTATTTATACTTATTTAAGGCATGGAAAGATATGGTTCGGAATGTATGTTTGTTACACAATGCTCCACGTATTCAGCGGCCAGTATGGTTGAGTCTTTTGGAAGAAGAAAAATATGAACACGTTGCGGAAGAATTTTGTGCGACTTTAGCTGAATTGATCTCTGCCTGCGATCTCAAGACGACCACTTAGTAATTTTTTACACGATAATGATACAGCCTAGTGCTCTTTGAGTTT